AAGTTTTGAACTCAGAGAACGTGAACATCCGGGGCGGGGCCTAAGAACAATCTACTGTAAGACGTRCCCCTATTGCTTAGTGCGGACTGATGCTTCCAGACCGCTTCATTCTAGTTTGACAGAGGGTTTTACGACTATATATCAGCACAGAAACTTTTAATTTACAATTGAATTAAAAGATGTCAACAAGGGACGACTTGTCCATCCAGCCTTACATGTTGGAGCCAGAGAAGACCACCAATGAAGTCCAGACCTTAGAAGTTTGTCGCAAATAATTTGATGTAATAGTTCAGAAAACATCATAGAAAAAAGGGAAAACTGAAAACTATTACCCAAACAGAATGTCAAGATATCTTAATGGCTAAAAAAGTGGATTTTGCATGATATGTCCCTTTTAAATTAGAGAACAAGCAGTTTTTCTTTGTTACTTTTCGTCAGGATCCGATTGATTTCAAGTTTAATAATTCACTCTGCTGTTAACATGTTGCCTTTCAAATTTATCTCAGGTCCATATTTGTGTATTCCTCCTTTATAAGCGAGCAGAATTTACCCTTCTGTGGTCTTGTTGATCTGGCACGTCACATGAAGTGGGAAGTCACAGAGTTGGCTGAAGGCTGCAGCCTGACTTCGGATGAACAGGAGGGAGAGGAAATGTCACACGTTTGGCTCTCCGTTGTGTTAATTGCCACCTTCTTTCTGAATTTTGWCAGCCTCCCCCATAAGTGTGTTTGTCACCCTTTGATGATTAACTTAGCGGAGGCAACACAGGCCTTCGGCAGCACCGCACCTTGAGGAAACACAACGTGCCACGGCCTTGTCACCAAACCCTCATGGGTCCAGTGGGTCCGGTCTGCGTGATTTGTCATCAGCTGGACTGAATTGATTCGGCTGCCTTTCTGCAGAGCAGCCAGAGGTTGCAGCAGACAGTATGGAGATTTACAAACTCACATTGGACTTTGATTTTGTGAACAACATGTTCCCCTAGCAACTAACAGCCTTGCAGACCCTGGGAGACAGCATATGTGTTTGTTTTAAAAGTTGGCTCTTTAAAGGCTGGAAAGTCTGCTGTTGGTGTTGCGTAAAAGGACACTGACTTTCAGACAACTGCAAAGTGTAAATGTATGTACGCCTGTCACCTAAATGCTCACGCCCCAAATTTATCTTTGCATAATATTTGCATTTTACGCACAAGTATCTCATGAAGATAAATAAATACTTCAATTTAAAGCGACAAGCCTGAAGTGCCAGATGTCTTTGCTTTTACACAAACATAGAAATGAACATTTTGCCTCATGATGGTTTCTGTTAAATGACTGATTTCTATTAGAACAATTAGGAGAATTCTAAAAAAATGAATGAAGTCATGTTTTGGGAGAGTCCTTGCTCCAGGGTTTTTCTTTTTTTCCAGCTTTTTAAACAAGATTTGCAAGCCCAACATCTTCATACAGTTCAGATGGAGTCATTCCCACGTACACAAGTCTTCACTGTGTCTAAAATGTTCCATTTACAATTCAGGCTTTGTCTACTTTAGTCATCCTTACCACCATGATGTTTGTTAATACAGTATAAAACCAACCCAGTGGCTAGTTTGATACATTTTAAAGAAAAAACAAACAAATTCCCTACAGTCCACAATGTTTCCATGTTTTCTATCACTTTTAAAATTGTAATCTTAAAGAGGCAGAGGGTACAACAGCAATGCACAGTATGAAAATGTGTTCTTTTGAGGGGGGGGGGGGTATTAAATATTTTCCAGGCACATTGTTCAGTTCTACACCACAATCAAGTAACTATGTTACCTTCAGCTGTATATATATCAAAAATAAATCTGACTTTGCATCATAGTCTATCAAAAGGCCTTGAAATTGGCCTCTATCTCTTTAAGAACTTCCTACCGTTTCAGACACTCCCACTTCAGCACATTTTCACAACAATGTTTCAGGGTAGGGGTGATCTGTGGGGCGAAAGCTCGGCTGCAGACTGAGCTCCAGGGAGGAGCTTTGTGTAAAGAGGCGGTGCTTTGTACCACTGAGCATTTAGGCAGCTTCACATGGATACCACAGGAGATTCAAGGATTTCTCAAGCATGCATGAATGAGTCAAAGCAACACTCTATGTTTTTGATAAGGGAATGACGTTATAACATGATATAAAGCTAAAAAAGTGGATCTTGCATAATACCCCCCCCCCCCCCCCCCCCAACACACACCTTTAAACGCTGGAAAAATGTACCTGATAGTAAAAAAGAAACTTACCAGTATTTAAAACTAGATAATTTGTATTTTCTTTGAAAATGCAGAGTGAATGTTGCTGAAAGACTTTTGCTGAATAGCTAAAAAAGATTAAACTAGCCTAACAGGTTACAAAAAGTAGCTGAAAGAGCACAAAGAAACAGAAAAAAACAACAACTTTTGATCAATAAAGCAGTAAATAGTTGAAATTAGCTGATATTAGCTGAAAAATCTTAAATTAGCTAAAAGTAGCTAAAACAAAGAAAACAGCTGAAATTAGCAGAAAGCAGCTGAAAGAAGCACAAAAAGCTAAAAAATAGCAGAAATAAGCTGAAAGCTCAAAAAGTTTAAATTAGCAGAAGAATAGCAGAAAAAGTCATAATAGCTAAAAAGGCAGAAAAAAACTAAAATCAGCAAAGTATAAGCTGAAGGAAGCTGATACACAAGAAAGGGAAAAAGTACAGAAAAGACATAAATCAAGGGTTTTAAGGATGTTGAAGACATCTCCATTCATTTTCTATGAGAAAAAATAGCAGAAAAAGCTAAATATCTCAAAACATAAATTACTTACGCACCAAAAGTCATAACCGGAGTTCTCTGAAAGAGCTGAATGTTTTGAAATATAAATTGTTGAAATAGCACAAAATTTACAGAACGAGATATGGAAGAAAAATGGATCTCAACAGTGTGAAAGCATGATGAGCATTAATACAATAATCTGTATTAAAGCAACATTTGGGCCTTTGTGGAATCAATAATAACTGTTCTCAGTCTACCAGCTGGCCCAGTTGTTATCAGAAACACTTGATCTTCATCAGTTTCTGTAGTGAAGAAGAACTCGTGGTGGCTTTTATTGCCCTGGATGCTCTTGCAAGTGAAAGGGGAGGTGAAAAAAAAGGAGTTAGAGTAAAAGAGTCMGAGTCAGCGGATTTTAAGGCGTCTGAGTGGGAGGAAGCATAACCTGGTTTGAGGAAATATTACCGCCAGAGGACAGGAGTCGGAGGTGTTTTTTATTTCTCCTCTGAACTTGTTTGGCTTGTTACCTACCTGGGTGTACTTGAAGTCTGGCAGAGGCAGCAACTCTGCTGTCAAGTGTGTCCTGCAGCAGCTGCCAGCTACGGCCGCCTGCTGTGTATGTTGGCATAATTCGTTTGAGCAGATTGATGTTAAATATAACTAAACCAAACACATTCATCATCATTCACTTAAACTTGATTGTAACATTGTAGAAATCTGCTTTTTAAATTTTAAACAATGAAGTTAAAAAAATCCTATTGTGAGATCCGTTCATGTGTGTGATATGTGAGAAGAACAGTGATGTATCACCAGTTCCTGGAAGTCTTCTAAAAAAACAGGCGATATTAGACTGATCCACGAGTTAATATGACTTCATCTTTTGGACACCCTGTCTAATCTCTGTTCTGAACATTTGCAGTCAATTATCTGGATGTGTTTATCAAAGCCGGGTTAAAGTGTTCTTCTGCCTGTAGATCAACATTAACATGTGTGTGGGTGGGGGCTTTCTCTTCCAGAGCGGCCAGTGAACCCAGACCAGCAGGAGCGCACTTTGTTGAAGGGTGTGTTCAGCGTCAGGAAAGGCAAGACGCAGCTGCACAAGTGGGCCGAGCGGCAAGTGATTCTCTGTGGCACTTGTTTGATAGTGGCCTCTGTGAAGGATAGTCTGGCTGGGAAGATGCACATCCTGCCCCTGGTGGGGGGAAAGGTGAGGGGCTTATTTAGGTTGAATGGTCTCTTAGTGCTTTTATCTCCAAAGTACAGCGAACAATCCAGACTGAGCTGACTTCAGTGAAACCCAGGGGTCTGCAACCTGTGGCTCTCTGGTCCCTCTGCAGCKGCTCTTTGAAGCTGTGACCAAAGCTATCATGAAATTATAGTTTTTATGTTTTTATATCCACAACAAACTGTCAAGTGGTGTGAAAGTATGTGATTGATTGATGCAAAGAGTGAAACATGTTGAGGAGATCATGCTAGTAGTTTGTAGCCACTTCAGTAATCCAACATCCAGCCTCACCTATGTGATCTTTCTCTCAAATCTTTCAAGATTTTTTGGAATACCTTTATGACAAGTTGCTGAGAAGAAATATGGTGAATTATTGAAATAATAATAAGAGCTAGAAAACCAAACAAACAAACAAACAAAATAAAACAAAACAAAACCAAGGGATCCCTGCATAGTTTGGGGTTTTAGTTTGCAATAAATTTMCTATAAATTATATATATATATTTCTTGTATTCATAAATATTGTATTTTATTTTGTCCTGAAGTGTAAAAATAATATAAATATTAAAATTCATTATATGTTTTCTTAGTTATACTAGTGTCGCCCCCACTGGCTGGAAAAGCCCTATTTCAACAAACTCAAAGTGGCCCACGGACCACCAGTTGATAATCACAGTTGTARCACATTTCATACCTCCAGACACAAAGAACAGGAAAAACTTGTTTGAATGTAAAGGTTGCAAACCCCTGCTCTAAACCATTTCCTTTAAAAGCTGAACATTTTGTTGTGTGAGATTTTGTAAATTTTTTAAAACTCAAACCAATAAAAATAGATCTGTTCTTACTGTTTCGAGGTTGAGGAGGTGAAGCGACGGCAGCACTGTCTGGTGTTCAGCTCCGCCGGCTCACAGGCTCAGACTTACTTCGTCAACTTCGACACGCTTGCAGATTACCAGAGGTGGCATCGGCAGGCACTGAAGGTAAGCAGGATACAAAGAGTGTGGGCAAACTGTGGCTGTTTGTTTTCCATTGGCCCTGCAGAGGGTTGCGTGATCAGCAGAGATTGGATGCAGAAACTCTAGTTGATGTTTTGGCTGTTGGGTCCTCGCTGCTTGTCTGACTGCATCTGATTGGCTCCTCAGAGGCCGTGAGGAGCATTTCTTCTACACTAAATGTCTGTATTGGCTGTTTTTTCTACAGAGGACTGGTGTTTTTTTTTTTCTATGTACTCCTTTTTAAAAGCCACTGCGGATTAGCAGATGCTATTTTTGCATCAATATATTTTAGGATTTGTTTTTAAGAGAATCCTGCCAATTTTTTTGAAGCCAATCTGAAAAAAAATCAACTCTGTTTGTCTGTAATAATATAATGGGCTGTGTTGCTTCTTGAGCTTRACATTTCTGTGAAAACCTCAGTCGAGGTTGTACAAAGGAATACAGTTAAACAAAGGAAAACAAAAGGTAATTTAAACAAAAATATCCAGTTATTTGCAGATTCATGGTTGGTCCAGGATCCCTCTCTCTCTACCTACCTCTCTTCTCTACCTCGGATTAGAGTTCGGTTAGAGTAGCGTATTGGTGTGCTGTATTTAGGCTGAGACATAGAGGTTTCTATGGAGTCAGTGGATCATGACTGATGAGGGTTTTTGGGCCAGTGTTTATGCTACACTGCATAAATCGTAAGCCTGTGTGTGAGTGCATGAGGGAGTCGGCGAGGACAGTCCTGCAAAATGAGTGTGCAGAATAAGGTTGAATAGTGAAAATAAAGAAATGTGAAAAATAAATAAATAAAGAAAGAAAGAAAGAAACAACATGAGATTCACCTGGAAACACACTGGTTAGTAAATAAAACACAGAGGAGTAAAAGACCCATCTAAGAGGCATGGTTTTATCCAAGAAAAAAATAAAGTTGTTTGGTCTATATAAAGTCGAATGGCTATGCTTTAGTCTGAATTCCTCCTTACTGTAACTCCATAAGCCCCTCTTCACCCCTTTTCTGAGGTGCATCTGAGATCAACTCGTTTCAATGCTGTCTCTTTAAATCCAAAACGACGCGCTTCACACCCCGCCCCCTTAAGCTTTCAGAGCGATCCATTCTAGTTTGATAGAGGGATTTATGACTATATAGCTCCGCAGACATTTTTTATTTACAAATTAATTAAAAGATGAAGGGAAGACTTGTCCATCCAGCCTTACATGTTGGAACCAGAGTCAGAGGAGAATGAAGACTACCAAATTGTAGTTAGTAAGTCCAGACCTTATTTAGTCATTCCGTCACAAATACTGTGATGCAATAGTTCAGAAAATGTCATAGAAAATACAGAAAACTAAATGGGTTGAAAAATACGAACCAAACAATGTAATAATATCAATGCAGCACCAGGAGGGACTAAATTCAAATTTTCTGCACTCCTAGAATCTTCTAGCCTGGTAAAAACCAGACCCTTGTCCTTCACTTTGCTTCATACGAGGGTCTGGACTCTCGGCTATAGAGAAGCGATTCTTGCTGGAGACGTGGCCTCTGTTGAAGTTTAAAACGACTGGATTGGTTGGCCGCGACGTATGTCCTTGTGAAGGAGGCTAAGCTAGGAAGATAACCAGAAATCGCATGCGCTGTAAACAACCCTACTGAGAGGAGAAAAGTACCGAGCCGAACGAGACGACTGTAAATGAGAGCTGCTGCTTTGTCAGACACATTTAATTTAATTATGAAGCCTTATCAACACGGACTGGCTTTGTTCACTTCCTCCACTGTCATTGCTAAACTAACTAGCAGATGCTGCGCAGAAAATCGACATTGTTCAAAACTACGCCTTCTGTTTGCTGATTGGCCCAGGTAAAATAAACTACAAGCAGACACTGCACAGAAAATCATCATTCTGTTCTCTGATTGGCCCGAATGAAATACTCCTTAAGAAATCTTTGTCTATGGGAGAAATYCCAGACGGAGCAGTGAAGGGAAGCTAGAACTGAGCAGAACTGCGTAGGAAGGCGAGGGCCAGGCTAAGAATCTCCAAGTAAACAAAAAAAAAGTATTTAACAGCTAAAAATAGAATTTGTATGATATGTCCCTTTTAGGTCTCATGAAAGATAATCTTGTATGCAAATATGTAATTTGCAAATATATGTGTTTATGAAATAATAAAAGCTATTTTAAAATTTAATTACATTCTACTTCTGCAAAGCGTCCTATTTTTAGACACAAGCCTATAAATCTTTTATCTTTTGCCTGTATAGCTCTAAAAGTACAAATTACATTTACAGGTTATCCCTGACCCTATGACCTCTATTTCATGAAAGGACATTCATCATGCAGTCCTCTCTGCAGATTAGGGACACTGTCCTCACAGCTTGGGAAACAGATAAAATGTGAGCTCTCATGTTTCATTTTGCTCCGACAGAATGCGTTTGGCTTCTGTCCTGTTCAAACAGATCTAGGGCCAATCCAAAGCCTTTATAGGACAGACTTCATTCTGCTGTGGGGCTCGGCTCGATGTCACTGTGGTTTTCTGCCCTGACTAGTTGGAGATGAGCTCATTCCCCGTTTTTTGCAAGGAGAGTCCAATTACTTGAGCATCATAGGTTTTTAGTTTTTATAAATATGATGCAAAGTTTTTTGAAATGTGATTAAAATTGACGCTAGGGCTTCCTATGAAACAAACCTCAACGATAGCCAATGAATGTGTAATATTATTCCTCCGGCGTCTAACTGTGTTTGATTTGGATTGTAGTTCACTGTTTGTGCATTACAGCAACAAACTGAGTGGCTGATGTTGATGTTGGTGCAGTGACAACAATCAGGTTTCACTATTTGGAAGTGTTACTGACAAAACTAACAAATACTCCTGAAATGATTAAATATATTTTTTATATAATTCAATGCTCATATGTTTTGTGTGTATTTGTGTGTGTGTAGGTGGTGTCTCAGACAGTAAGTCTGGTGGACCTGTCCTGCTATAGTCTGGAAACAGTGCCTGAATATCTGTTTTACTGTCAGGATATCACTCACCTCAATCTACGACACAACTTCATGAGCCTGCAAGGTCCTGGAAGTCTGCTAAACCTTCCCAGGTGATCCCACTGAATTTTACATTTTACATTTTTTTTGTGCCAGATGGTTTACACAGAAACTTGTCCTAACAAGTCGTAGTGTCAATTGTACTTTAATTTTCTATGTTCACACACTTGAAATAGTGCTTTTCAGATAGTGTTTACGATGTCACAAGTTCACCCGAGTAAAAGCAGAAGGTCTCACAAACAAAGCAGCAACTGTCATCGTTTTAGTAGAGCCTCGTTCATTATGCAGGACAGGAATTTAGTTGCTGTCCTTTTCTGCGCTGGTGGTTCTTTACACAAGCTGAACGTCTCATTAGGAGGACCGCAATTAATCATCCTCAATGTCTATAGCTCCTCTTTTCAGCTTTAAGTAGGACTTTTTGCTTGTTCATTTTGATATAAATGGGTGCATAAAATAATAAAACATGATTCTGCTACTTTTTTAGAGGTAGATATACTCTTAATGTCTTTGATCACCTAATGTTTTAATTTCTTTTCCAGATGGAATTCATGCAGAAAAGATACATGAATAATTGATATAACCATACCACTCATAATGTGGGGGTTAAAGAGGTGGTAAAAATAGTCAAAATCTAACTTTGCATCATACTATACTTTGCAACCCAGTCTCAATATGATTGTGCAAATAAATAACTGATTTAATATATWTTTTTTTGCACAGAGTCAATTAAAGTTCCCAATAAAGCCTCATAAAATTCCCTTGTGGGGTTTATGTTGATAAAATTTTTTAATGCTAATTAATTAGTTGACAGATCAGTCAGTCAGCATCTAGTGACTACATACTGTAGATGAAATGAAATATAAATAAACAAATAAAAGAGGTGTTTCTTGGATCCTGAAGTTTTTTCTTGTATCTTTAGGTTTTCCCAGTTGAAAAGCCTGAACATATCCCACAACCGTCTGGGTGTTTTCCCTGAGTGTGTGTGTGAGATCCTCACGCTAACTGAACTCAATCTCTCTTGTAATAATCTCCACCACATCCCAGTGCAGATCGGGAACCTCCAGAGGTGTGACACACACATATCCAGTATACACAAGAGCAATTGTGCAAAACATTTACCATGATATGCATGAGCAGGTAAAACAAAAACATAGAATGGTAACATGTCTACAGAGAGAAAATATTTTGACACTRAAGAACTTGAGTCAAGCCAATATTCTGACAGCCTTTTGGAATAAAAGCAAACAAAACATGGTGTTTTCTTCTTTCCACCGTGCAGCCTGCAAACCCTGGCTTTGGATGGAAACCACCTAAACTCGCTGCCTGAAGAGCTGGGTGGCCTGTTTCAGCTCAACAGCCTGGGGCTTTCCTTCAACAACTTCTCTCAAATCCCCCCTGTGCTGGAGAGACTGAGTGCAGTGGACAAGCTGGCCATGGCTGGGAACCAGGTGGAGAGGTTGGTGTTGTCCATGCTGGTCGGAATGAGCCACCTGAGAAACATCGACCTCCGGTAACTTTTTTTTTTACTCTCTTCTTTCTCAATCTGTCACTCTTTTCTCACTTTTTTAGCTCTGTTATTTTGTGACTAAAACAGTGGATAACATGTAAAGGGAGACTGTCACCAATCGTCATTCGGTGACTTTGAGACTCGATGACAGGTGAAAGACTCGGCACTGCCCTTTGTGTCGTTCCTGTTTTTATTTATTTTTTTATTCCCATCCGTGACAGCAAAATAAATGTCCTGTCAAAAACTTCAGCCTTCACCTCAACTGGTTCTGCATTCCTCAACACTCTTCTGAACATATTTTGGTTTTATTTAAGACACATTTATAGACAACAGATGTGCCACGAACAGGGTGGGGTTAACCAGTTACGTGTAGCACAATTCAATCATAGAACAAATACACTCACCGGCCACTTTATTAGGTACACCACGCTAGTAACGGGTTGGACCCCCTTTTGCCTTCAGAACTGCCTCAATTCTTCGTGGCATAGATTCAACAAGGTGCTGGAAGCATTCCTCAGAGATTTTGGTCCATATTGACATGATGGCATCACACAGTTGCCGCAGATTTGTCGGCTGCACATCCATGATGCGAATCTCCCGTTCCACCACATCCCAAAGATGCTCTATTGGATTGAGATCTGGTGACTGTGGAGGCCATTTGAGTACAGTGAACTCATTGTCATGTTCAAGAAACCAGTCTGAGATGATTCCAGCTTTATGACATGGAGCATTATCCTGCTGAAAGTAGCCATCAGATGTTGGGTACATTGTGGTCATAAAGGGATGGACATGGTCAGCAACAATACTCAGGTAGGCTGTGGCGTTGCAACGATGCTCAATTGGTACCAAGGGGCCCAAAGAGTGCCAAGAAAAGATTCCCCACACCATGATACCACCACCACCAGCCTGAACCGTTGATACAAGGCAGGATGTATCCATGCTTTCATGTTGTTGATGCCAAATTCTGACCCTACCATCCGAATGTCGCAGCAGAAATCGAGACTCATCAGACCAGGCAACGTTTTTCCAATCTTCTCGTGTCCAATTTCAATGAGCTTGTGCAAATTGTAGCCTCAGTTTCCTGTTCTTAGCTGAAAGGAGTGGCACCMGGTGTGGTCTTCTGCTGCTGAAGCCCATCTGCCTCAAAGTTCGACATGTTGTGCGTTCAGAGATGCTCTTCTGCCTACCTTGGTTGTAACGGGTGGTTATTTGAGTCACTGTTGCCTTTCTATCAGCTCGAACCAGTCTGCCCATTCTCCTCTGACCTCTGGCATCAACAAGGCATTTCCGCCCACAGGACTGCCGCTCACTGGATGTTTTTTCTTTTTCGGACCATTCTCTGTAAACCCTAGAGATGGTTGTGCGTGAAAATCCCAGTAGATCAGCAGTTTCTGAAATACTCAGACCAGCCCTTCTGGCACCAACAACCATGCCACGTTCAAAGGCACTCAAATCACCTTTCTTCCCCATACTGATGCTCGGTTTGAACTGCAGGAGATTGTCTTGACCATGTCTACATGTCTAAATGCACTGAGTTGCCGCCATGTGATTGGCTGATTAGAAATTAAGTGTTAACGAGCAGTTGGACAGGTGTACCTAATAAAGTGGCCGGTGAGTGTATATCTGTTATCTGTTAGTTGTTATCATTATGTACTTAAAATTACAGTTGCTTAAGAAAATTTTAATAATTATAATTCGTGTTACATGACATACAGTATAAATGGTAAATGGACTGTACTTGTATAGCATTTGTCTGTCCAGCCAGGATACTCAAAGTGCTTCACACAATAATCTGTGCCCTTGTTTAGCCATTCACACAGCTCTCTATTAGATCTCACCACAAAGCTAATACAGGTGAATCAATCTATTAAGACCAATCAGAGCTTAAAGTCACATTCATACACTGCTGGGACACACATCAGAGGCAGGGGGGGGGGGGGGGGGGTGCAGTGTCTTGCACAGGGACATGTCGACATGTAGCAGAAAAGCGGGGAATTGAATCACCAACTCTTGCATTAGAGGAACGACTCGCCTAACCACTCTGCCATAGCCAGCCCCACTGATAAATAAATGGATGGCTAGATGGGTAGAGATGGATAGATAGATAAATGGGTAGATAGATAGATGGTAGATAGATTAATGGGTCGATAGATGTTAGATAGATAAATAGGTAGATAGATAAATGGGTAGATAGGTAGATAGATTGTAGATAGATGGGTAGATAAATAAATGGGTAGATGGGTATAAAGATGGGTAGATGGCAGATAAATGGGTGGGTAGATTGGTTGATGGGTAGATACGTAAGATTGATGTTAGATAGATAAATGGGTTGATAGATGTTAGATAGATAAACGGGTAGATATGTAGCTAGATTGTAGATGAATAGATGGGTAGATAGACTGGTTGATGGGTAGATAGATGAGTAGATAGACGGGTAGATAAATAAATGGGTAGATGGGTATAAAGGTGGGTAGATGGTAGATGAATGGGTAGATAGATTGGTAGATGGGTAGATACGTAGATTGATATTAGATAAATGGGTAGATAGGTAGCTAGATGGGTAGATGGATTGGTTGATGTGTATGGGTAGATGGGTGGTTGTATAGAAAAATGGGTAGATACCGTAGATGGGTAGGTAAATGGGTAGATAGGTAGGTAGTTAGTTAGACAGATAAATACGTAGATAGATCTTTCTGACAGGTCATGAATAAATGCTGTTCACTGTTTTGCCCTCTTTCACACTTGTATTCACACTTTGGAGTTGACAACTAAAGTCGTGCTTATTGTTTTTGCTGTTATTAGCAGCTCCATATGAACAGCCTTGCCCTGAAGGAGCTCTGCAGGTAATGAGTGTGACAAAAGCTGTTCTCGCCTCCTAACTACAGCTTTAGAGAATAAACCAGCGACCACTACTCCAGCCACAGCCAGGTAATGATCCAGCCTTGGGAGTGTAGCTGTGGTTTGGCTGCAGCGGGCTGTGTTTATCAGGACAAGGTGCATCTGTGATGGATTAGTGAGCTGGCACTTCCCATAAAAGAGGAGTTGTTGTTTATTAACACGAGTTATAGGATCACAGAGAGCCTTGATCTCAGCCATGTACTCAGAAGTTAAATTCCCGCTGCTTGGCTTCACAAATTAGCCAAAACATTATGACCACTCGATAAGAATGAATTCAAGTATTTCTTTCACCACTAAAAACAGCTCTGCCCTGTTTTCATTCAGCCCTTTAAGTTGTTGAGTGAGATCTGGAAAAGACTGGACTTGCTTCCCATAGATGCAGTGTGCTTTCAGTTTATTTGTGTCTTGGGAGCACCTCAGTTGTTTTTTATTTTATTTTTATTTTTTGTTCAGGACCACAGCGGGCCTCTTTTTGCAAAACCCACTTCGGTACAGTTAAAGTCAGAAGGGAATTTGCCATGTGGGAAGTGTGATTAGTCTGCAAAAATACTTAGGGATGTGGCAAGTCCCAACGTATCATCCGTGTGAAAACCAGAATGAAAATGTTTTTCAGGATAATATAGATTTGTTATGAAGTGCTGTGATTCTGGCATTTTATTATATTTTTCATGTAGTTTGTTTGATTTGCTCTTGCTTTGTTTTTGTTTTTTCATTACAGACTTAATGGGCTTCGGTGGGTTAAAAGTGAGAGTCTAGAGCCAGTAAGCCAGGTGACTCAGCTAGACTTACGAGACAACTGTTTGGACTCCCTGGATTTGAGCTCCGTCTGCAACCTGGAGACTCTGCACTGCCAGAGGAACCAGCTGGAGACTCTCACCCTCAGTGGTTTCACACTGCGCATGCTTCATGCCAGCAGCAACCGTGAGTCAAACACAGCCTTAACTCATTCTTATTGCCCCTATTTGTCTCCACGTTTGAGTGTTTTTCTCTAACATCACATTAAAATAATGACCATACATAAAAAAAAAAAAAAAAAAAAAAAAAAAAAAAAAAAAAAAAAAAAAAAAAAAAAAAAAAAAAAAAAAAAAAAAAAAAACGTCTAGATGTGTCAGCTGTCTGGTGTCTTTACAGGCCTTACAACAGTCAACATCTATCCAGTCCCAAACCAGCTGACACACATGGACCTTTCACAGTGAGTTCTGACGGAAGAAGCTCAGAGGTCACATATTTATTAAAAGAAGCTCTGCTGTCTAAAACATCAGTTCTTTTTTTGCTTTATTTTAATAAATGTAACATATCACAGTGTTTATGTGAAAAATTTAGCTATTTGATATATAATCTTAAAGGAAAAACTGTGTGGAATCAAATCATTCCAGTGAATCTTAATTTTACATATCAACATATCATATTAAAATTTGAGGAATCTGCACAGATTTTGCTGAAACTGCAGTCAAAAAATAAAAAAGTAACATAATAAAACGAAATCTATTTCTATCTTCTGTTAAACATTTGACATTAATCACAAATTGATTGTTTTATTAATATCTGTTTTGTCATTCCAAATCAAAGCTAAATGCCAACTCCGCAGAGTCTGAGTGTTTGTGTTTTTTTTTTCTTTTTTGTTTGTGTTGAGACAGGAACCTCTTAGAGTACCTTCCAGACTGGGTGTGTGACTGCAGGAAAATTGAGATGCTGGATGTGACACACAATCTATTATTTGAACTTCCTTCCAGGTTAGGAGAACTCTTTTTTTTGCCAACAATCTGAAATCTTTTCTGCTCAAACTGCATTTGCTGATTACTTGATTTTATTCAGTTTTTGGTTTATTCAGTTCACAGCTGGTTGTCCTCCACAAAATTAGAAGAGCAGATTTCACATTACAAAAAATGTATTTTTTTAATTAAGTTAGTTAATTTTTAATAACCGTTTCAATAACTTGTCTGGGTGGTAGAGTCATAGAAACACATGAACTGCTCCTAGTTTATTTAGTAAAGAACCGAAGCTTTGTTTTTTTAGGTGTAAATGATCCAATCAATGATCTTTCTTTTTTATGTCCTGCAATGTGTCCTGTGACTTCCAATAGACTGCTGAACAGCTTGAGTTTGAGGAAGCTGCTGGTGGGAAACAATCGTTTGCAAAGACTTCCTGACCTACTTGACCATGTTCCTCTTGAAGCGCTTGATCTTCAGCACAACAAGCTCACTGAACTTCCAGAGAGTCTCTTTTACAAAGCCTTAAAGTGAGTCTCACAACACTTTGATAGGTCATTATGACCCCAGACTGTGTGTGTTCTCTGTTATGTTTCAGTAGACAGTTACTGTACCGCATCTCAATGTTTAGGGACTGGTGTATAGATTGTATAAAGAGACTGTGGTAAAGATCATTGGAGCATTTTAACTGAAGCATCATCTGTTCACTTATTTCCTGTGTGGTAAATCACTTAACACCCATTAGCTACTGAAATGCTCTAATGCACTTTATCCTTTCTAATGTGGAAGCATAACCGAAGTGACTTCTGACAAATGGATTTCCTGACATGTTGTCCAAAACCTGCATAACATACAGTGGTTTGCAAAAGTATTCATACCCCTTGAACTTTTCCATATTTTGTCACATTACAACCACAAACATAAATATATTTCACTGGAATTTAATGTGAAAGACCAACACAAAGTGGTCTACAATTGTGAAGTGGAAGCAAAATTTTACATGAATCAAAACATTTTTTACAAATAAAAAACTGAAAAGTGCGATGTGCAAAATTATTCAGCCCCCCTGAGTCAATACTTTGTGGAGCCACCTTTTGCTGCAATTACAGCTGCAAGTCTTTTAGGGTATGTCTCCACCAGCTTTGCACATCTAGTGACTGCAATTCTTGCCCATTCCTCCTTGCAAAACAGCTCAAGCTCAGTCAGATTGGATGGAGAACGTTTGTGAACAGCAGTTTTGAGATCTTGCCACAAATTCTCAATTGGGTTTAGGTCTGGACTTTGACTGGGCCATTCTAACACATGAATATTCTTTTTTTTARACCACTCCATTGTAGCTTTGGCTTTATGTTTAGGGTCGTTGTCCTGCTGGAAGGTGAACCTCCGCCCCAGTCTCAAATCTTTTGCTGACTCCAACAGGTTTTCTTCCAAGATTGCCCTGTATTTGGCTCCATCCATCTTCCCATCAACTTTGACCAACTTCCCGGTCCCTGCTGAAGAGAAGCACCCCCAGAGCATGATGCTGCCACCACCATATTTGACAGTGGGGATGGTGTTTTCAGAGTGATGTGCAGTGTTCTTTCTCTGCCACACATAGCGTTTTGCATTGTGGCCAAAAAGTTCAATTTTGGTCTCGTCTGACCAAAGCACCTTCTTCCACATGTTTGCTGTGTCCTCAACATGGCTTCTGGCAAACTGCAAACGGGACTTCTTATGGTTTTCTTTTAACAATGGCTTTCTCCTTGCCACTCTTCCATAAAGACCACATTTGTGTAGTGCACGACTAATTGTTGTCCTGTGGACAGTTTCCCCCACCTGAGCTGTGGCTCTCTGCATTTCATCCAGAGTCACCATGGGCCTCTTGGCTGCCTCTCTGATCAGTGATCTCCTTGTTCGGCCTGTAAGTTTAGGTGGACGGCCTTGTCTTGGCAGGTTTACTGTGGTGCCATACTCTTTCCATTTCCGGATGATGGATTGAACAGTGCTCCGTGAGATGTTCAAAGCTTGGGAAATCTTTTTATAACCTAAGCCTGCTTTAAACTTCTCCAAAACCATATTCCTAACCTGTCTGGTGTGTTCTTTGGACTTCATGATGCTGTTTGCTCCCCAATATTCTCTTAACCAACATCTGAGGCCGTCACGGAGCAGCTGTATTTGTACTGAGATTAGATTACACACAGGTGGACCCTTTTGAGTCATTAGCAGTCATCAGGCAACTTCTGAATGCAATTGGTTGCACTCAGGGAAAAGGGGGCTGAATACTTTTGCACGTCGCACTTTTCAGTTTTTTATTTGTAAAAAATGTTTTGATTCATGTAAAATTTTGCTTCCACTTCACAATTGTATACCACTTTGTGTTGGTCTTTCACATTAAATTCCAGTGAAATATATTTATGTTTGTGGTTGTAATGTGACAAAATATGGAAAAGTTCAAGGGGTATGAATACTTTTGCAAACCACTGTATAAGGAACAATGGTTGAATTCAAGACTGACAGGGGTAAGAATGGATGCAGACAAATATAGCATGTAATAAGACTTCAGCAGTCTTATCTTGTTTATGAACCACTCTAAACAAAAACATGTCAAAGTTCACATTTGACCCAGTCAGGGACACATTTTTATTGCTTTTCAGCATGTGATAACCACAAGAAATGACTTAACAATGGCAATCACACAGAAATGACTGAAGTTCAAATTACTATCATCCTTAAAGTGCAGTTAAAAAAAAGATCTGTAAATCAGCCCCCCACTTGCAGGATAAATTAGTTCTGTGCTTCAGTGTATTTTCTTTAGTGCAATGAAATTAGGAAATGAAAAACTCAAATTTTATCTATCACCTTTTTTAAACTGTTTTACACTGAAAGTAGTCCTAAGCATTTTAAAAATCCTAAGGATCATTTTAAAGCTTTAAGTGAGCTCTATGATGTACTGAACCACATTACATTCAGAAATACTCTATGTCATGCGTTACCAAAATTAACTTCTTGTAGATGATCAAGTTAATCAGAAAGTTAAAAACAAAAACTGACATTAAAGAATCTTTCCTAAAATAGTAGCCATATTAGCATTTTCCAAATGACCAGGTCATTAATTTAAAATATATATTTTAATGCTTTATGCTTCTGCAATGAACAGTTGCTGTGCAAATGTTGCAACCCAGGTAAATTCTTATGATTGCACAATATTATATGTATATATGAGTTCTATTTAAAGTGTTAAAGCATTATATAATTGTGTTGGTTTAGTTTACTAATTAGAAACAAAGCACACAAAACATGAAACTCATAAGTGTGTAATTAAGAGTTAAGCGATACTGTATATGTATCAGATTTAGCCACTAGATATTTTTTATCTTCAGTCCTTTGACAGTAAAAAAATAAATAAATGTAAATCATGAATATAAATCAAAATTGACATTGTGGGAAAAACCTAAAATATCCTTGCAAATTGCCAAAAATTAAAAGGTTTGTTTTACGATGAAAGCTAAACATTATTTCATATATGGTACAGTAGCTGCACCTGTGCCACATTTCATTTTAATTTGAGCTTATCAGAACCTTAGTTTGAGCTTGTTCATCAGTGAACATGATGTTGCTCTCTTTGTTTATGAGATTTATATTTGTCGTTTTGTTTTTATTTATTTATTTGTTTTCATAGCTTAAAGTACTTAAATGCATCAGCCAATGCCCTGGAAAGCATCCCTCCCAGCAGCCAATCAGAGGAGAGCCTCAGCACACTCCAGGAGCTCTACCTGACCGGGAACAACCTGAACGAGAACTGTGGTGTGGTGCTGGTCGGACACCAGAATCTTCGAATCCTCCACATCGCCTACAACCAACTGCTCTCCTTCCCTGCCAGGTCTGTCGCTTTACTTTTGTCTTGTTTATCTATAACCTTTAAAAAAAGGACACTTTTAATGTACACTCATCTTTTCTGAGCTATGCTAATCAAATGAATTAGTGTTGTATTAGTGTTGTTGCACCACTTCCTTTTGTGTTTTTTATGGGGTGCCGTTTGTAAAGTTACACAGTCAAAAATTACCACCAACATTTTTGTTTTATTTAGCCTTTTATAAGAAAAAAAGGACAGATTTATTTTTCAAAGTCAGTTTTTCACCATATGATTCATACATTTATGTCATAGTTTAAAAACTAAATATTTAACTTACAAATCAAATATTTAGTTAACAAGCTAAATATTTAAGTTATGATTTAAATATTTAGTTATGAGCTAAATATTTAGCTTGAAACTTAAATATTTAGCTAGCTACCTAAATGTTTAAGTTGTAACTTAAATATTTAGCTAGCAAGTTAAATATTTAGCTAGCCACCTAAATATTTAACTTAAATATTTAGGTGGCTAGCTAAATATTTAACTTGCTAGCTAAATATTTAAGTTACAACCTAAATATTTAGGTAGCTAGCTAAATATTTAACTTAAATATTTAGGTGGCTAGCTAAATATTTAACTTAAATATTTAGGTGGCTAGCTAAATATTTAACTTAAATATTTAGGTGGCTAGCTAAATATTTAAGTTTCAAGCTAAATATTTAGCTCGAAACTAAATATTTAAGTCACAAGTTAAATATTTAGCTTGTTAACTAAATATTTAATTTGTAAGTTAAATATTTAGTTCATAAGCTATGACATTTAGAAAAGTATGAATCACATGGTGAAAAACTGACTTTGAAAAATAAATGTGTTCTTTTTTCCTATAAAAGGCTAAATAAAACAAAAATATTAGTGATAAGTTTTGACTGTGTAACTTTAAAAACGGCACCCCACAGTTTTTATGTTTTATATACTTGTCTCCAGTAAACTGAGTAAGCTGGAACTGCTGGAGGAGCTAAATTTAAGTGGCAACAAGCTAAAGACGATCCCGTCCACTGTGTCCAGTTGTAAGAGACTGCACACGCTCATAGCACACTCCAATCAGATAACTGTCTTCCCGGACATCCTCAACCTGCCCGAGATCAAGGTCAGATTTGTTTCAATGGACCAGTGTGAGCAGTGCAGGATTGTCTTCAGCATGTTTTAACTCATCTTTGCTTCACTCATTTATTTATTTTTTTACCTACAGCTTGTAGATCTCAGCTGCAACGAGCTGACTGAAATCCAGCTGCCTGATTCGTTGCCTGCAACGCTGCAAGAGCTCGACCTGACTGGCAACGGCAGCCTCACGCTGGAAAACAAAACCCTCAACTTCTTCAGGTGACTCTCATGACTCGGAAATGATAAAACAGACAATAAAACAATCTTTTTGTTTTTATAAAATGTTTATTCTCAAGGTAACAAAACTTACTGAATACATATATGCAATGTTAACCTTGTTTTGCACCGCTTTTAACAATATATATTTTCTAATTTTTAGTAACATTACCACTTTAAAATTGGACCAAAAATCTACTGTGACCCCAGGAGACTCATTGACTTCACCAACTCCGTGGAACCATGGGTACTCTGAAATGAGAGGCCAAAGAAATAAGTGTGTACTTTTTTGTGTTTTGTTTATTATATTGAGCATTGATGCTTGAATGCAGACAGAATTTATTCAAACTGGAACCGAGTAAAAGACTGAGATCCATCAGTTTTAATAGGACATATAAAGATTCACACCTGTCAAAGTAGCATCTCTTTTGTTATTGTCAAGCACAAAACTTATATAAAAACTGGTTTGGGGCATTGGATTCCCTTTGTATGTATTTGTTTGACTTCACCAGCAACCCACGAGCCAACATCCAACTCGTGTGTCTGAATTTAAACCCATTCTGCAGTGTCCTGACCCCCTCAGAGACCCACACAGTGGTGTTTTTTTTTACCAGTTGTCAGTCCTTGTTTGTYTACCAGCGGTGTCACACACTACAGGATGGCTACGGTGAGTCATCTCTTTGTGAATGCGACTCTTTTGTTTGGTGCAGGTTGTGTGTGTCTGTGCTGGCCATGGACCGCTTTCGCGACAGCGTGGAAGCTTGTTACGGGATCTTTGACGGAGACCGCAATGAGGAAGTGCCTCGGCTGCTGCAGTGTACCATGGGAGATGTGCTGTGTGAGGAGCTGCAGCACTCCAGCGTTGACACCTTGTACATGTGTAACACTTTCCTGGCCTCACACAGGTACGCAGGCTCTATTTATTTATTATATTCTGTTTTGCTCTTATTATTTTGCAGAACAGTTGTCAGCTTTTGAATGCGAGAGTTCGTCACAGCACTTTTTTTTTGTGTGGGACAGAAAACTCGGTATGGCTGGACAGAAACTTGGTGCTTCTGCGTTGCTGTGTTATATTCACCGTGAGACTTCAAATCCAGCCGGCCACTTTAGCCTCACTGTGGCCAACGTAGGCACATGCCAGGCCGTGCTGTGCCGGGATGGACGACCTGTTCAGCTCTCAAAGGTTTACAGCTTGGAGAACTGCACAGAGGAGATGGAGAGGGTTAAACACAGTAAAGCCATCATAACAGAGGTACTACATTTCAGGTTTTAACACTGACTGATATGGTTGATCACTGTCTGAACATCTTTTTTTCACTCAACTTTTAATTGTGAATAATGTAGCTGACAGCCTTTATGTGTAAGCTTATATATAAATTTTGTCATCCTCAAAAATCACAGTTTGTTCAGTTGAGAGCTGGAAACGGATAGAGGAGCTTAGTGATTAATATGAAGAGCACATTAATAGTATATTCCCTGGCAAATGAAACCATTAAAAAGTGTCCAAAAAGTCGACGGGGTTCTCTGGACGGGTTCTCCTTCATTGAAACCTTTCGTCTCTTCTCCAAGAGACTTCTTTATTCTAAAGAGTTTCACGTAAACTCATCCTAAGCAGTGCCTTCACATAGTGAATAAGCAAGTTTAACTGTGACAATCAAAACTGGTTGTTGACATGTAAAACAGGACCAAAAAGGACCATGGTTGGCTGTTTGCAGTCCAGTTGTAGACCAAACAGGACTCCAGCTAGCCAGTCTGGTAAAAAGGAGGACCCCAAACCCAGACCAGTGGTCATTCTGTATGTTGTAGGAATTTCAGAGAAAGTAAGATGTTTATTTTCTAAACACAACATCCCAGTGGTTTTCAAACCCCAAAGCACATTACAGCAAAGGCTGGTTCACCCCAAAGTTCTGTTCCCTCGGCACAAACAGAGCAATGTTGTATATGCTGTTAAGTGCCAGGAGAACTGTGACCAGTTATACATCGGGGAAACAGCCCAACTGAACAAAAGGATGTCCCAGCACAGAAGAGCAACATCATCAGGGTATGATTCTGCAGTTTATACTCATCTACAGGCCAGCGGTCACTCTTTCAGGATGAAGATGTTCTCATCCTTGATAGAGAGGAACRYTGGTTTGAGAGAGGAGTAAAGGAAGCCATTTTTGTGAAGAGAAACTGCCCGTCGTTAAACAGGGGTGGAGGCCTCCTTGTCCAATTGCCCCCCTTCTTACAATACTGTTGTTGCGACCCTCTGTGAGAAATAAACTGCAATTAGTGCACAAATGATCAATTATTACAACCAGTTTCGATCATCATTGTTATAAGGCTGAGCTTACCTGTAACTCATCAGACTGAAGAAGTCTCTTGGGCTATGTTCACACTTCAGGCAAATGCGACCCAAATCAGATTTTTTTTGCCCCATGCGACCCATATCTCATTTTTTATACAGTCTGAATGCGACAGGTCCGATTTTTTCAAATCTGACCCAGGTCTTTTCAGTATGTGGTACTGAATCAGATACATATCTGATGTTTTCAAAGCGACTGCAGTGTGAATGCTCGTGTCGCATTACATCCGACTTTTTCATCAGTGAGGTGGGGGTGAAAGATCGATAAGACACTAACCTCAAGTCATGCTGTTTAAATCTGTAGCTCCATGCGTTTGCAACTCTAAAACAGAAGTCCAGTTGCTTCATCTTTTTACTTTTAATTTTCTATGTCCTTGATAGTATGATAGTAACGTCCAATTACTCGGTCGATACTTTATTTCCAGCTCGTTGCTTCATTCCAGAGATAAGAAGCTGCACCGGAGCATCTGGTCAGAGGCAGGTTCAGATATAAACACTGAACTAAAGAAGCGTGTCAGATAATTATTTAATTGACTCTGATTCAACAACTTCAGATTCAACATGCTAAAGGTAGCATCCATGCTAACCCTGTAAACAAATAGCGAGCTGAATGTGACATCACATCTTTTTCTGCACATGCGGGTCACATCAGTGCCATGTAGAGTTCGTACTGGAGTCTGATGGAGGTCTCATTTAAAATGGAATGTTCACGCCAAAAACATCAGCTTTTAAAAAAAATCTGAATCGAGTCTGAATGTAGCCTTGAAGAAGAGACTGAATCTTTCAACAAAGAAAAACCCATCCAGAGGACCTACTCAACTTTTATTTAGATTTTTCTACCTGGATTATTGAGATGCATCAGAACATTAAAAAGTGTCATTCACAGCTCTAACAGCTTTACTTTTCTACAGGACAACAAGGTGAGTGGAGTGACGTGCTGTTCCCACCTGTTGGGCTGCTCCTATCTGGCTCCCTGGGTCCTTCCAAAGCCGTGGGTACACACCGAGCCCCTCTGTTCCCAGGATGAGTTCTTGATTCTGGGGAATCGAGCTCTGTTTGAGCGTGTGACCTACCAGGAGGCCGTGTGCACTGTGCAGGCTGTGAGGGACCCTCATGCTGCTGCCAAGAAACTCTGCTCCCTCGCTCAAAGTTACGGTTGTAAGGACAACATCGGCGCGGTGGTGGTGTCCCTACATATTAGTGAGGACAGCTGCACTTGTGAGCCACCAGTCTCCACCACTGAACCACGGGGTCCGCCTCCTGCCTCTGCCCCTGTGTCTGTGACCCTATGCCCCAACGATCCAGCCAATCTTTCATCGAGCAGTGGTTTTGTCACCGAGTTCAGCAGTGAGACGTCAGCCTCGGAGGTGGGCAGTGAGGGAGGGTCTACTGCTTCAGACGAACACCCGTCCTCAGGCCCCGCATCTCGCCCAGAGAGACGTTGCAGCCTCCACCCTGCTACGGCACTGTGTGGGATCATGGTGCCAGGCACAGCTGGGACAGGAAGTCACACGGGTGTTTTCCAGCGCCAGCCCTCTTGTGCTGCTTTCTCATGTAATCAATCTGACAACGGCTTAGATAGTGATGACGAAGCGCCACTGGAGGGTGTTATCTCAAATGGCAGTAAGTTAGAAGTAGAGGTTGATATTCACTGCTGTGCTTTCCAACTTCGATCGGGGCCCCCCGAGAGCCCCAAGGAACTCAATCTTGAAAACCAAGGCTCTGATTCTCGCAACGGCAAAGTGCGCAGACAGAACAGCGTGGTGGTTTCTGCTACAAATGGCTGCCTCCTGGCTGTGTGTGGGAGGGAAATCGGAGACCTCAAGAAGTCACCCTCCACCTCGAGCCTGTTTGGGAAGAAGCTTTCCAACGGTTCGGTGGTTGCCCCAGAGGACAGCCATAATCTCATCGAGGTGGCCCTGGAGGCGCCCAAGAAAAAGTCTGGTTACTTCACTGCCCCAGCACAGCAGGACCCAGAAGACCAGCTGATTGTGCCTCCCAGTTTAGAGCAGGAAGTCAGGGAGCAGCTAAAAGGCCAGACCACTTTACTTCCAGGCCTTTCCACACCGTCCACACCCACCATCCTTAAAGATCCCGCGTGGGATCATCCACAACCACCTGCATTTGCCTCCAACCTGGTCCCAGGCCCAGCTGCCATTCTACAACAGGAGGTTTATGATACCGCTCTCTAATGCAGGTGGGAAGTCACAGCACAGACTGCAGATGTGTCTGTGCTGTTCTGAGGAAGTCAAGTTTCTCTTACGTGTGGTATGTTTCAGTAATGTTGCCATTTAGATCTTTTGTAAGGACAAGCCAAGCCTGTTAGTCATTAACTGATACCGTGCCATTAAAGTGAAAGAAGCTCAAACAAGTTTTAAATATCCAAGATGACAGAAGTGAAAAGGATTTACAGCTCATGCGGCTATCAAACCAACTCTGACCCCAAAATGAGTGATCCAGTGTTGTTTGAACAGCAGCTTCTCCCTTTACCGTTAAAGTTAAGAAACCTGAAGTGTGCATAAAAGGTTGTGTCCAGCCTCCTCTCCAGGGCCTTTATGGTCTCTCAGTTCCTGGAGAGAAGCACCATGACTGAAACTTGAAAAAGTGCCTACTACAGACGACACATCTAAGTGTTGGGGTTGAGCGCCTGTTAGATACATTTGGAAAAGGGACAGCGTCTCTAAGAGCTCAGAGCTGTCAGACTCCACTCTTCTCTACTTGTGGCTTAGAAAAAAAAAGACTTTAGAACAAAAAAAGTTGATTTAAATTGTTTTGTTTTTTTGTTGGGTTTTATTTTTTTTTAACATTTTCACACAATGTGCAAAGAATCTTCCATACTGAATAAGTCTGTTCTTTAAAGTGTAATACTTAGCAGCATACATACATTCCATTGAGTGCAGTTGCTTCTTTAAACAAATGCAGAATCAAAGTCATTCAGTTTCAGAGATAAAAGGCTACAGCGCTCCAAAATGCTAAAATGTTATTAGTAACAGTGGATAATCAAACAATCTTAATATCTATTTTCTGCAGAATATAAATGGTGAATGTGGTTGATGGGAAGAAACAGTTGTATTTATTCTTTAATTGAAATTAAATATTTGTTAGTGATATTACAGTGAAAGGTCCGCAACAATTTTGTTCCTACTGAAACTAAATTCTTACTTCTACTCCTTGCATGAATTCATTATTTCCTTTTTTCTTTTGTTTGTTTGTGTATTTCAGTGTGTGTGTGTGTGTGTGTGTGTGTGTGTGTGTGTGTGTGTGTGTGTGTCAGACATTCGACATGAAAGCTGCTACATCTTATCAACTGTGGCTAAGAAGCGAAGTTGAGGTATGTTTTGATGTGCTGAAAATGTGACTGGCTAAAAACTAATTAGTGTTAGTGAGTTAGATATTTACCTCCAAATGTGTTTTGTATTGTTGCTCCACACGAATAAATGAAAAGCCACCAAAGAAGTATTTTTTTCTTCTTTGTATAGATCTTGTAACTTGRAAGAAAGAACGAAACATCATTAAAAGCATTTTGTAGGTACACAAAGATCTTCACAGTTATAAAAATGTTCTTTCTGTGACTGAGCCTTATGCATTGTCTCTTGTACAAGACAACACTGACGATGAAAGGGACAAAATAGAATAAGTTTACATAGAAGATAGATTTATAGATACCAATTACATGGGCTATTTTCTGTTTTTTTTTTTCATATTTAACTCCTGATTTAAATGTTAAGCAGCTACCCCAGAAACTGCGTAATGTCCACCCAGCTTACAATAATGTTTATTCTCTATTTTCCAATAATTGCTATCCCTTATAAAGAAAATAAAAACTACAGTGATGATAAATGCAAGTGTTTTATTGCTCACATTCAGTTTTAATATTTGTTTAAAATGTTAGGCTAATTTTATCTTTATCTGATTTTAATAAAAATGTTACATCAAAATGAAAAATGTAGCCTAAACTACCAATACTAGTATGGAAATTATTCTGAATTATTTTTCTAAAACGAGATGGGTGAGACCACGTTTTACAGTAAAAGAACTTTGATACAGCTAATTAATTAAATACAAGTCCTTTTATCCACCAATGTTTGGGACTCTAAACACAACAGGACACGTTTGGATAGGTCAGTAAAACACTGAGGGACCCTGCAGAGACATACTTACAGTTGGAGCTAAAACAGGTTGTGATTGTGAAAATCACAAAGGAAATACTGGACTTTTATTACAAAAGCTCTATAACATTTCCTTGTAAAATATGCAAAGTGTCAACTGTAAATATAAATGTAGATGAGTCATTTTGTCGCTTAAAATTACAAAAAATAAGTAAATAAATAAYGCGTCTCAATATAAATATTGAGTGGTGTGTGTATGATGTGTGTAGTTGGGGTTGTGTTTTTATGTGGTGATATTATTTTCTATGTCCGACACATTTTTCTCCCTGTCATTGCACTGCTGCGTTTAGTGCTCCTCAAACCTACTGGCGGAAGTTTTGTCTGTTTCCTGTTTGTTTCCATGTATTCACCAGTTGTCCTACAAGCTTGAACTGTATTTGAATTTTGATGAACGAGTAGGGGGGTCCGTGAACATTGCCATAATGCAGACTGAATGCACAGAAAAAAGAAGAAGGGTACACAAAGAAATGTGCACTGACGTAAACGATTTCCCTTTAATTCTTTAGCAGAGAGGTCTGATAGCGCTCACAATTCCCTTCTTACACAGAAGTGGAGGGAACACATTAAAACAGAGTTTATTGAGTTTTTAAAGATAAATTTATTAAATCGTTTCCTTTTTTGCACAACATATCCTCTCTGTGTAATGGTTTTACAAAGCATCTGTGTTTCTGTGATGCTTTAGTGCTCATATGAAGTAGGTGTAYGCATGCCTGTTGGAACAATGGCTGTAATTCTGTGTGAAATGTGAATGAAAGTGATTTCAGATGCTTCGGTTTTATAACCCGTGACCAAAGTAGCCATTGTTTAATTTAACAACTCCTTTCTGTATATTATTTCAAAGAAATGCTTGATTTTTATGTTCTCAATGCCAAGAAGCTGATGTTTATTTTTGTACTTCCATGTATCATGCAAATTTCTATTTCCCTCTTTGCTACAGAATTTAAAGTGATTGGGATACTACAGCATTACTGAGGGTACTAACTGTTGTTGTATTTAATGTTAAAAGCATGTCCTCAACATAAAACATATATTACATACAAATTGTGATTTATTTGTAAAAAGTGGAGCATATACAATATATTTTCTAGCATGGAGATTCCTGCAAAAAATTTGAGTTTAAGAATTCTTAAATAGATTTCTTATTATTTAGGAAAATAATTAAAAATGAGCACTTTTGCTGTTTTTCAGACATACACTCATTTGAACCTTCTTGAAGAGGAAAATAGTCATTTTGATTTTCAATGCTGCTATTATTATTTTCTGCAGAGAAGTTGTTTTTGTATTAACATTAAGCCAAGTAGCAATAAAACTTTTTACTGTGAACTGTTTTGTGTAATGTCCATTTTACTCTACTTTTACATTTCTTGTCTCTGAATAGGATCAAGACATGTTTAATGCTCAGTAGCTCATCTGTTCACTTTAATCAGAAATCTTAATGTTAAAATTTATATAAAGGTTTGATGGATATGGTCTATTTCGGGTACTTTATCTTCATTATTTCTTTTTTCTGACACTTTTTGAAGACAGTTTTTCTTCTTTCTTAGTAGTTATTTGAAACCCATTCATTAATTTTTATAATTATATAAAATGTGTTTTTATTTAAGTAGGTTTTTCTGTTGTTTCAAACAGCAAATAGACCTTATAAAAACAGCTACGAACAGCAATTTACCTCAATACTTGGAAGCCATTTGAAAAYCTGCAAAAACCGTGTTATATTAGCTGCCACCTACTGGTGAAGGTTGGAATTACATCTCAAACTCAAGGAAGCAGATGGGAAAAATAAACTCGTGACAAAATTCATGTATTTTTCCTACTTTTAAACCGACTTAGAGGCATTAAAGTGCAATAAAAATACTTTAATTTTCAGTAGACTTAAAGTTTTGATAAAAAAATACAAATTTATTTGGATTTTGAGAGTACATTGCTATTTTTCAATTATGAGTTTTAACTGTAAACCCATGAGGCACAATAACACTCAAATTTTTTAAAAAATAAAAGTGACATTTGATTTCCTCAGTCTATAGCATTTTTTTTTACAATTAAGACATAATTGGAAGGACAAATAATTCACAGGCTGAGTCATTGAGATACATAAAACAATTTTCTTTGATAAAATAAATAAATTGATAAAAAAATTGTGTCTAAATTATGGTTTATTCCTATTTACACAAAAGCTATACAATATAAAATAAATGATGACTTTCAGCCATTATAYATTTTAATCCACCTTTTAATAGACAAAAACTCATAATACATATTGTAACAAGTTTTAAGTACAATCAATTAAAAAATGCTATAAAAAGTAAGAAGAGGTATAAAAATACGAGTATTCTAAAATTGTATTAAAATTTTATAGAAAACACAGTACTTGTGTAATTATTAGCATAGCTGCATAAACGCCTCATTTTTGTCAGACTTCCAKTCAGCTTAGCTTTCCCTCAAACGTGGAAGAGAAAAGCCAGTTTGATAATCCTCGTTCTCATTTGAACTTTGCTTTCTAAGCTGTCGCACTGACCTGAAGGCTCTGAATGCCAACACTGCACCAAAWATAAAAACAAAAACCCCTGACACTCCAAAGAGTCCTCCTGCAATGTCTGCACCATTAAACTGGCAGTCAAAGCCCTTGTGTCCTTTGCTCCTGTACATCTGCTCTCTTTCCTTACAGATGGGATCATTGTAAGTCGCCTGTATTTTAATAAAGTAGAATGCGAGGGCAGGGATGTAACCCAAGCCAATCAGGAAGCTCAGCAGAGCCTCCCCCAGCAGCACCGGAGGCCAGCGATAAGGGACTCGGAAAACTCCCAGGGCAAACAYGACGCAGGCGTAGACCATCAAAACCCCGGCAAAGACCATCGCGAAGACATACGGGGGCCGCTTGAGCTGGTGGAACAGGCTGTCTAGCKCTTTCACCTTGGCTGCGTCGGCTCCAGTGAAGGCATTGGCTCCTCCGAACTGATAATAGTAAATTCCACCGAGGCTGGCCAGGTCACGGTAACCACCATTGTTGCTGTACGGTACACCGGCGCAGATTACAATGAGCAAGTTCACAAAGAACTGCATGATCTGGCAGATACCTGAAACACACACACACACACACACACACACACACACACACACACACACACACGAAAGCTACAGTGATGACTGGTAGAAGCACAAGAATTTAGTTTTTTTAAGCATTTACAATATACAGTATACGTAAATAGCTGAATTTGTGTAGAAGACCACCGGTGGAAACCAACAATTAAGAAAAATGGTAATGGCTTTGGATTTCATTAAGCTACTTACAGAATTATTATTATTAATATTAGAGAGTAACTGACTGAGTTAGAAACAAATTACATTTTTCTATGATCAGTTGACTGTAGCAAMCATCAGGAGACATATCATGCTTTTAAATCCTTCTTTTTCACATTTAAATCATTCAGTTGGGTCTATATAAAGTGGAACTGCAATGCTTTGGTCTGAATTCCTCCTTATTGTAACCCCACAAGCCCCTCTTTCACCCTTTTTACAAGGTGAAACTCATTTTGAGGTTGTCTCTTTACATCCAAACAAGGTGCTTCACCCCCCGCCCCCCCTCCAGCTTCAAGACCGGTCTATTCTAGTTTGATAGAGGGGTTTACAACTACACAGCAGTGCAGAAACTTTTTATTTACAAATTAATTTAAAGAAGTCAACAAGGGAAGATTTGTCCCATCCAGCCTTACATGTTGAGGCCAGAGTCTGACCCAGAGCCAGAGGGGAATGACAGTCCAGGCCTTATTTGGCAGTTCAGTTGCAAATAATTTGACTTAATAGTTCAGAAAACATAATAGAAAATACAGAAAACTGAACAGGTTGAAAAAATATGACCCAAACAGAAAATAAAGATATCTTTGCAGCACCTCTGCAAAATCTAAATTGAAACTACATTTAACAACTAAAAAAGTAGATTTTTGAATATGTCCCATTTAAATTGCATTGGCTTTAAAAGTTAGTGAGCTGCAGAGGTACATCCAGTGATTAACTGCAGAAAGTTTCATTATCAGAGCTGACATTAAGATGACATTTAAGCTTTACATAAATTACTTAAGAATAAAAAAAATCAATTGCATCGCTGCACAAAGTAAAAGCGTTTTTAAATAATAAAGCTCTGTATATATTGTATAATGCAGTGATTGTTTCACACTTAATCTACTGTATTTAACTTTGGGGAAAAGCATGTATAACAATTTACAAATCCCATTTTAAAGACACATAAAGACAATCTGTTAGCAGTTAAAATGGGTGTTGGGGATCAGTCTCGGCTACCACCACACCAAATGTTTAGCTAGTATCTGTAAAACCAAGTGAGTTCTTGCCATTTTAGAGATATTTAAAAAAAAATCATTTAGCTATCAGTCAGGCTGACTCCAAATGTTATTTAGCTATAGTTTAATCAAAATTTATTCAGTAATTCATGGGTTATTTTGGTGACTGACAGCTCATGAATTCACAGACAGAAGCTTATCAAGAATCCTGTGCTGTTATTGATTTAATCATGAATATATATGGTTTCTTTCCATAAACAATCTTACCTCTTGCTGTCAGGATGTATCTGAAATTGTACAGGGGCTTTCTGTGATCTTGCACATAATATTCTGCATCAGGGTGATACACTGACGTCTCTCTGGGCCTGTTAGGAAAACATATTAATTTTAGTAAAACTGCCAAAGGAGGTTTGCTGTCTGTGCTGAGGACAGCTGTTTCTAGATGGTTTCTTACAGCCTGGAGGATCTTTCATGCTGATGGTCTCTGTATGCAGGTTCCTCCTTGTAAGCAGGACTTGTCACCCTTCTGTCTTCTTCGGCCCTCCTGTCCCCAGCWGGCCCTCGTCCCTTTGTATACAGGGACTGTTCGTTGTGGGAGTAATCCCTGCTCCTGTGCTCTGCATCACTCCTCTGATGGTGCTTTCCCCTGTCTGGCATCTTCCTTTTCCTGCAAAAGAAGCTTATGGACATGAATCCTATTACTGCGCAACAAAGTGGATACTTGGCTTGAGTCTTAGTGCAAGGATATGGAGCCTACAAGACAAACAGCACAGCAGCCTGGGAGATTACACCATGAAAAATAATTACTGGATGATGAAGCTAATGAACAACTGAAGCTAGATATATTCAGGAAGTAGCCAGAAGACGAAAACACCTGTCAGCTTACAGCTTAGCGCGTTTGTATGGATATATAAAATAGCTTAAGGTTTATTGTTAGCAAAATAACTTCAGAAAATTTGCCTATTAAATGTCGGCAAAAAAAGATCGATTCAAATACGTTTTTACTAATTTTGATATATTAATATTTACGAGTTTAAGCATAAAATCTCAGTGAGCTTATATATTTGTTTGTTATACATTTGTTTGTTTCCTACCTTTGAATTCCGTAACTATTGACTTGTTTTGCCCCGTTTCCTGATTCCTTTCCTTCACCCACCTGTCGCCCGTCCTGAGCCACGCCCACTCGTTGGGAAACCCTTCGCTCTTGCTACAAGGTGGATATAAAACGTGTTTCCACAGCAAATACATTATTTTTTTTAAATATTTTTTGGGGTTTTAGTTTTTACTTGCTTAAGACAAAATCAACACTTATTTTCAGGCTCAGCTTGAACACAAATTGAAACTTTATTTTGCAGCTTCCGCACAAACTGAGCTAAAAAAGGTGATTAAAAAATGTCTGTTTTTCATTTTATCAAGTCGCAGAGACCAAACTGATTCTTGCCCTAATCAGGACAACACCGAACACAGTGCACGAGGTCAGTATTCAAGCTCGTGGATTTACTGAGCTCAACTGAATTGTTTCCGCCAAAGAAACATGAACGTTTCACAATAAAAGCCACTAAAATTTCTATACCCTTTCATCCTGTTTATTTAAAAGTCCAATGAAATTGCAAAACTGTATACATACAGGACATAATCTACTGTTTTGAGGTATTTTTCCTTAAATGCAATAACTTAGGGCAAATGTATGCACCTCGTGTTTTTTCAGTAAACATATGACTTCAAAAATAATTATTTAGCTTTGACCTCTTGAAATTGTGACTTTCCCACTGGGATCAGTAAAGCATCTTTTTTTCTCTGAATTTCTTAAGGGCAGTTTCATGAATGCTCTTATTATCTAAGACAGGGGTTTTCAATTCTGGTCCTCAAGCACCTCTGTCCTGCAGGTTTTCCTTGTGTTCCTGCTGTAACACACCTGATTCCGTGTTTGAATTAGCTCTTCAAGTTCTACAGAAGCCCGTTAATCACATATTCATTACAATCAGGTGTGCTGGAGCAAAGAATACTCTAAAAAACACAGGATAGTGGCCCTTGATGATGATGACCAAGACTGGACATCCTTGATGAAAAACCTCACAAATGGTATTGAATTAATAAATTTCTGATTTGTGAGCCAACATTTGTTTTTTCCTCTCTGTTTTCTTCTACAAATAGTCATATAACCTTTATATGTCTTAATTTACTACTGACTACAAAAAAATAGGGTCTGCACCTATTCTACATTCATATGTACATCTCATGTATAATATCAACCAGTCAGATCTTGCCTAGTGTATTTACAGAATAACTTCAATACATTAACAGACATTTTCCTGCATATAATTTTTTACATAAAGTGTATTTTATAGCAGGACTTTTGTTTTGGTGAGGCATTTTACATTTTTGGTAGGCCTGTTTATTTTTGGTAGGCCTGTTTATATATATATATATATATATATATATATGTACACATACATACACTGGATCATAGAATTATTATTCTTTTAATAAGACCACTAAAAAACACTTTACCTGACACAATCATAAGTACAAGAGCTTCATGCTGCTTTAAATTAAACATTACATGATGAATTTGATAGAAATATACTAACTAAAATAACTATTGGAGAGGGTGAAGACTTTTATTGCGAAGAGTCCAGCCAACTATTACCGGAAATGTTTATTGTTACTACTACTCGAGCTCACGCGCTACCTCCAACCGACCGCGAGCTGGTTTGGCTAGCTAGCGAGGAATATGGCCACGCGAGTAGCGTGAAATGCTGATGCATTAAATGGATTTCAATATTCGACTACCAATACATCGTTGGACAGCTGACAATGACGACGGAGTAGAGCAGCGTTTGTAGTTGTTATTACAAACCCGTAACACCCTTCCGGGGAAGTTTTCATCTCGTCAGCGGAGGAGAATCTCACCGGGAGCATGGCTTCTTACAGCAACCAGGTAGCACGGCTAACGTTAGCTGGTAAAACAACTCAAGCTGGATTTAATGTTACGTCTGTTTAAAGCTTTATGCTCGACTCTCATTCCTGCAGTATTTTTCACCAAAACCGTTGTCAAAATATAATCAGTGTTGCAATCATCTGCGTGTTGTCATGTGAAATATCGGGCTAGTCGTGTCATTGAAGTGCTGAAAAGTGCTTGCTAATGCCCCCTCCACCCCCCCATTGAAACCCAACCAGCATGGCAACATTAGCTAACAGGCCGTACGCTCATCCATTCATATGTGAGCCAGCGATATTCTTTACCTCTGGTTTTGAAGAGATGACAAACGCTTTTATCTAAATTACACCGAATCGTTCACATTTCAGCATCAGAGAGTATTTATTGTTAGATTCCATGTTTGTCACGAGTCGTTTAGAATGTGTAAAGTCACAGGAAACTGCTGCGTGAATGCATGGCCCACCTGCTCTGTGCTGACACACGGGCCTTCTACACTTTGTTTTCGTAACTTACTGCGTTGTCATAATTATACTATTTCATATAGTTATTAGATTAATTGTTTTGTTTTACGGAACACTTCTGCACACCACCTTTACACGTTTCTGTGCAGATGTAAACACGGAAGACGGAATGTGTTTTCGAGCCTTTTTTTTTTTAGCTACTAGCAGGCTAACTGCTTTGCACAGGTGGTGTGTATGCTGTCATTTCGTACAGTGCGACAGCGTGGGCCTTCAGTGAAATATTGGCATATTTATTTAACCATATGGTTATGCACAGTTAAACGTGTCGCAGTTTAAGTAACAAACAGCCAGTTTCTGTGTAACTTTACTTGAATTGCGAGTAACTAAGTTGGGTGGTATTTCTGGTGAAGCTAACTGTCATGTGAGAAGGCCCATTTTGAGGGTGTGCAAACAGTAACTTGCTGGGTCTAAGGATTGTTGTCCCACTGAATAAAGTTTTCTTCTTGAATCAAAATCAACAACATGATAAATGCATCGTGGAATTTCACGCCTTTGACTTACAGCACACTATACCAGGATTATGAACGGTAGAAAGTGAAATCTCACTAAATACCCAATTGTGCATGCTTTTACACACCTCCCTGCCCCCTACACGAGTTTTTCTATTGGCTAACTGCTCAATAAACTAATGGCTAATGCAATTTGTACATGTATGTGATATGTAAAACAATATTCAGTTTTTTTTCCACAATAGGTGTACTTAACTTGTGATGTTTTAAGATGTAAACACCCAAATATTGATTTATCATTGTACATAAAAGGGTATTTATTCTTTTACTGAAATGATACATTGTCAATAGTCAGTCAATACTGAGTAATAAATTTCCCAGCAGATTGTAGAAAATTAAGATGACAAAGTTGCTTCGTCTGGTTCGTTGTTGATTTCAACATTTCAACTGTTTCAAAATTGCAAAAGCTTCATTTTTTTTCACATCAAGGTTAGTGCAAATGTTGGAGTTGAAATGATTTGACTACATGCACCAAGTAAGGTAAAAAACACAAGAATAAATGTTGGGTTACCTGTCTTCATCTGAAAACAGTTTAGGCAGAGACAGAACTAGATGTGTGGCCCCAGCAGCAAAGTGACATCACTGTTCTGAGAGGAAACTTAGCAAACATGTCGTGCTGGAAATTCTCAAAACTAAAGTGTTTTTTTTATTACCTGCATCTATTGATTCAGTTCTTATGTTGTAATTACACATTATTAGAAAAGAGAAGCCTCAAAGTAGTAAAAAATGTTAATAAATATGTCTAAGTTCTGAAATGTATTATTTAATGGAAAAAAATTATTTCTTTTTTTTTTCGTGGGAGAAAAAAAGCAACATTACCTAGATAAATTTCTGCCATAATTCATTTTCAAACGTTTGATTTCACACATTTTTTTGTATATTGTTTAGTTAAGTTGAGTGTTGTTGTTTGTTTATTAATCAGTTAGGTAGTTGTAGCATATTAAAAAAAATCTTGAAGTATTTTTTTGTCTTGTCTCTGACAAGAAAAGCCTAACATCTCATTAACTTCGAAGCTTAATGGTTTAGCTCAGGGATCTAGAGAGTACAGCCTGTGCAAATACAACTTCTTCTAAATGATTCCTCCCAGCTATGGCTGGGTATCAATTCAGATTTCCCAAATCGATTCGATTAGGGCTGCACTGATTAATCGACAACTAATCGATTATTAAAATAATCGATGACTAATTTAATAATCGATTAATCGGTTTCTTTTTCTTTCTTTTTTTTTTTTTTTTGTTCTTTGTTTTACTCACCAAACTGCTTTGACACCTTCCACTGCTACATCTGCCTTTCTGTTCTTGACACACATGCACAGTAGTGGTAACTGGGGTAGGCCGTGGACGTCACAAGTAGGGCTGCACCGATTAATTGAAATAATCGATGACGTCGATTATGTAAATTTGTCGATGCAGATTTTTTTATCGATTTGCTGTTTTACATAACCACCATGTGAATGTTCATGCAATTCCATTTCTGTACCTAAATGCATCATTGCGACCGTATTGGCATAAGAGTGGTGAGTTTTTCATGCTTGTCCTGAACGCAGCATCGCGCAAGAGCGTAATGACGTCAGCAGCCGCTGCTTCAGTTCAGTCTGAAGCTTGAAAACAAGCCTCGCAGTTCCTGGAGTAAAACTCACCGAACAGACCGCCTCTGAATTATCTGGTGGATTAATTATCTTGTGAGCACGACATTCACTTGCTCAAAGTAAATAAAGTACCGCCACTTTCTTTATTTCATCCGCCATTAAACAGAGACCGGTGTTAGGTCGAGCCACGTTCCCCCATCAGATGGTTCCCCCAGCGTCTCAAACAACAGAGGAGCTTCCTGACACACATCTGACCTAAAGAGCACAAGCAGCCAACAAGTGTTGGCTGCTTGTGCAAAATAAATATAGTGAAAAGACAAATATATAAAGATATATAAGATATAAAGATAGTGGAAAAAATATAGTGCAAGATGTTAACATCTTGCACTATATTTATTTTACTTGAATTTTATATGCTTTAGTTGAGGTTTTTCATTGATGTTAAATCTTTTAAGCTTTTTTTTTGTTAAAGAATTGACTCTAGAGTGCATATTTTGTGTCCATGAAAAAACTATTAAAGAAAATTTTACAATATTAAAGAACTGTTCTTGTTAATTTGATGAAAACATTTTAAATTTCCAGTGCACTCACATCAGAATAACTTATAGGTTTGTTGTTAAAATAATTATTAATCGAAAAAATAATCGTTAGATTAATCGATTAGAAAATAATCGTTTGGTACAGCACTAGATTCGATTTGATTCACAGGGGCCCGATCCGATTCACGATTCAGTTTGATTTTTAAATTAGTTAAGGATATCATGCAGTAACACATTTACTTTGATATGTAAGACATTCTCAAATGAACTAATTCTATAAATAGTGGAAACTAATTCTAACTTAGTGTGTTGGTAAAATTATAAACATTATGGGCAAACTTGTAAAATGGAGTTTAATCTTGAAACAAAACTGTCTCAATTGCAAGAGAAAGTGTTGTATACATTAGTTTTTTTTAAGAAACTAAAAATTTTCTTGATCATTAAGAAGTGAAAAGGTTACAGGAGAAGAGGTGGGATAATGTAAGTGTATACTTCTGCCCACTCTTTTGAGCATATGAACATTGTAATGTTTCTGTTACCTTCTGTTCAATAAAACAACAAGAAGAAAGGAGGGAAAAAAGTACTTCAGCTAAAACATTCCATCACTGTGAATTACATTAAGATGTTTCTAAAATTTATAAATAATATTGGTAACACAAAGGATTTTGTTAGACTGACATCATTCAGACATTCATACATGCCGAGGAGAACAGTTTCAGTCAGATATTTACATACCTTAGTTTTGGTTCGAGCTGCTCGAAGCTTTGTTTCCCACTACCGCGTCCAAGCGCAAATCTTTGCAAACAAAAGTTGTCATGGTCTCTGTTATCTTTGTTTTGCCCCAGACAACTTGTTGTCGGGAGCTAATGTTAGCGCTGACCGTGAGCCGGCTGTAAACCTACGGCAAGCCAGGAGTGACACACAGCATGGAAATGCGCAGCTTCATCGCACTCAACACCCATGGGGAATAAAATCGATCTCATGACTTATGAATCGATTTTCCCAAATTTGAACGAGAATCGATCCAGATCGATTAAATCAAAATTTTAAAACCCAGCCCTACTCCCTGCTGTAAAAGGTTAATCTTTATTACAAATGTCACAAAATTAATATTGGTTACATTTCGGCAACATACTCTGTTCAGAGTAGATTTATTTCAAAGACCACCAGGTGTGCAACTCAGCCTGTCAGGGAGGCTGACAGTCAAACTGCTGTAGATTATTTTATTGACACAAAATGCCTAAATAGGGTTTAATACCAAAATATATATTTTTTCCCTGTCACTCACATCAACCTAAAATATATTTTGTTCCCCATTTTGAAACAATTTAGTTTTATGGTTTGGACAAAGCCATTGGTGACAAGTTTTACATTTGTAAATGATAAAAGTTTAGGAATGCTGACTTTCCTGAACTACTAGATTATTTTATTGTCTGGCTTTAAATTTGTGCAGCACAATGTCTCCAAATACTGTATCAGTAAATGATTGTGAAACTTCAAGTTATTCATTTTCGTTCTTATGCTAGTCTAGCTCTTAATCTTCATCCTTGTAATTGTCTTGTCAAGATTTTGTGCAGAAACACTTGCAAGGTTCTGTTATTAAACTACTACTGGAATTATGCAGATGGGTAATTGGTTGTGCAAAGGAACAACAAAAGAAGCTTAGTGCGGTATGCATGGCATGCCTACAAAAAGAAGCAAAGGGACATTCTTTCTGTTGTGATAGCATCAGCCATCCCAAGGCCGTTGGATTATAGTTGGTTGTTTGTCACTTGTAATGCCATTTCAGCAGTGTGGGCCCTCGTGTGAGGCCTTGTTTGCAAAGAGATACATATGCTTAAACTGCACTTTCTTTTCTCTGGGCCTTCCCTTTTCACAATCTGCTATTTATTGCTTTAAAAGGATTATCAGTGTGGCCTGTGAATTCAGTTCACCTTTTTTCAGTTGCTTTGTTTCCCATGCACACGTGGACATTGGTGTGGCACAATATGGTGTTTCCTTTTGAAGCTGTAAGGGTCATACGTCAAAGATGCAACACATACATTTTGAAATTTAAACCATTTATGAAAACATACTTGAGTAACAGCAGCAAAAAATAGATAAAATGTCATGGATGAACAAAGAGATTTTATGAATCCGCCTGCTGTTCTCTGATTAATCATTTAATAAATAGTTGAATTTTTACTTGGATTGTCAGTGCATGTTTTTCTGTTTTTGGCGATTTCTGTGTAATGTATTATTTTGAAGTTCTTTCTAAGCACTTATTTTCTTATCTACTTTACAATGAAAGCACATTCACTAATATTGAAGAGAAAACTAGTTACTGGTAATAAGCCAGCTAAACCAACCAATGGTTAAATCAGTGCCACTACACATTTTATTTTATTTTTTTAATTCTGTTAATTGAAACATTTTTACTATAGTTCACTGTAAAGACTTTTGCATACACTGTAATTTATTCTGAAAAATTTGCAAAGTAATCCAAGATATTCAAGAGCTTATACACAATGTAACAAAGTGGACAGCAGCATTTAATGGAGTGAATTCAATTTAAGTAAAAGTGTTAAAATTCTCAATACAAGATTTTTGCATGCTACAATGAAATTGAGGCACAAAGCTGTGTACTTTCATAAATAGCTGAAAACCGGTTTTCCTTCTTTGCAGTAGTTCGACTTATTTTGAAATTCACTCTGCCGTCTCAGACTAAAGAGTGGTGTTTCACACTGCTCTTATTTCTACTAGAATAGTTTTCTAATGCTGTAAGTGTAATTAGTAGTAATTAATGGTGTTATACATGATTCCATGAGAGAGCAAACTAAATTCAGTTGACAGTGGTAATTTTTTTTCCTGAAAGATTTTACCAATAATCCAAAAAACATTTTTGATCAAACACATCATGTACTTTGTTGTAATTTTTATTTGCTTTTTGAATATGGAAAAAACAGTCAAAGACACAAAAATATATACTGTTGGTTTTTGTAGAAAAAGGGCAGTGACTTTGACCTAAACGTGCAATCCTTAAAATACTTTTCATAAACAAATCTCCAAATTAAAGGTATGTTTGCAAATTATACCAATGAAAGGATCCCCTGGGCACATTCAGCATTATGTATTAAATTTATTTCTGAGAAATGCTACATGAACAAACATTCACTTGTCCTTATCTTAGTGAATGATTCGTCTTGTAATCATTGACTATGTATTGCATCAGTTTTTGGTTTGACCTAAGGAAAACTACTGAGCAAAAACTTCCACCTAAAGACGTGTAATCCTAGCATTAGCATATGGGTCAAATGTTTCTCACGTGTAAAGTGGAAGTTTCATTCTGTCAGAAGTCAATAATTTAACACCTTCCTCACCCCTGTTTTGTACTTTACACCACTGTTTTTGTATAAGCTTTAGGACAATTCGCTTCTCTTGAGAGCAATCATTCCTGGAGTCAAATTAGAGCCGTTTGTGGTTTATCTGTAACACTGCATGACTCATCATTTTATGATTTGCTTTACCTTTGCACATGATAGGATTGCATTACCGGTTGAGTGATCACAAAATTTGTAAACATATTTGTACCTACATATCAGGTAATAGCAGCTTTTGATAAAGTTCCGGTTTTGAGATGTTAATTATTATTAGACATTAACCTTGAGATGATTTGTAAGGCCTGCATGTTGTCAGACCTAATGAAAAGCACATCACAAAATTTGAGACAACTTTTTCTGATACTATTAGGTCAAAACAACAACAAAAAATATAGGTATATATAAATTAAGAAGAATTTGATTTTATATTGTTCTTGTCTTTTTAACTGGTCTTATTGTTTTCTTTTCACAGTATATATTTGGGGAATTCAGCCCTGATGAGATCAATCAATTCTTTGTGACTCCTCGATTTTATGTTGAGGTAAGGAGTTTTATTTTAGTTGTGTGCATGCTGTTAACCATTACAAGTTGTTCTTGTGGCCTCCACTGTTCAAGAACAAACACACTTCTCAATGGTCATGTAATTGAAACGTTTTGACCTGATATGTTCCTGAAGATCTGAGGCTTGAAATTGGTTACACACATTACATGTACGCTGTTTAAAAATTAAGATTAAATAAAACCTCACTTTACATAAACCTGTTTTAATCTATTTCAATTAATTTTAAATTTGTGTTAACATTTTCACAGCTTCCTCCTTTCAATGACAAAGTTCCATGCGTCAGTCAGTCTTCAGGTATGTATTTCAGAAGAACTTTCTGACAATGCAAGCATTTGTATATAGATTTTTTGAAAATTAAAACATCAAAATACAATCTTTTTAAAATCCCAGCAAGAACCTTTTGTTGATCTTTTAATGGTAATATGTTTTTAAAGCCGGTCTTTTTAAAGCGTGACATTGGATCCTGGCTTAACTGACATAGCAGAACAATGCCTTTTGCATGTTTTTATTTATTTATTTATTTATTTATTTATTTATTTGTTTGTTTATTTGTTTATTTATTTATTTATGCATATTATATCTTAAAGTGGATTATAACTAGAAGAGAAGTGTAAGAATATACCATTTTCTTTTTTAAACATTTTGGCCACCAAATTTAAGAATATCACTGCAGCCACCTTCCCTTTCAGTGGTGTCCCTTTGCACGTAACGTTTGCCTTACCTTGATTTGTATTGATCATTCAGGAAGTTACTGCACTCCTGCTGTACCTTATATTATGGAGTCAATGGGACTGCAGGTTTGCGGTGAGTTGACAGGTCTGATGCCCTGTGGCTTGACAAGTTGTTATATATGACCTTTTTAAAACTAAAACTCCAGGTTTCAAAAACTGGTGGCTTTCTAAACTGTGCATCTGTATTCTTTTTCTTGTCTGTTGAAAATTTTCTTCAGAGCTTTGCATGCTCAAGATACTCTTAAGTATCTTCTTTTGCATTTAATGCATTTGCACTACTGCAGGGCTACAAATTACACAGAAATTTGATTGAGCTTTGATTAAAATATACTAGTTAAAGCTTTTGTTAAACTAAGGGCATAGTTATGGTTTTTGTGGCTGCTAACATGCGTGTGTGTGTGTGTTTGTGTTTATATTTTTATCCCTGAAAAGTGTTTTCCCCTGTTAATTGCAATTTAAAATAATGAAGTGTTGTTTCAATAACATCTGTTTTGGTCCCAGTAAAGGGAAGTATCAGCTTTTTTTCAATAAAAAAGCTTCTTCACTTCTACAGAACATCATGATGATGATCAATTTGCTGATGAAAGCCACTTAGATGATTTTTCTAATTTGCACTTACTAATTTTTCCTATTTATATTTACTTCCACCTTGCACTTTTCATTGCATCTTAATAATTTAAAGCCTTACAATATATTTTATAAACATGATGATTTAAATGTTTAATTATAAATAACTGTAAATGCATAATGTGTGGACTATCTGCTTTTTGTTTTGTGACATTCTTGTCATAATGTATTTTTCAATAATTTGATCAATGTACATTTGAAATAAGTGTTTAAATGTGCCTAAATTTATTATTGGGTAAAAAATACAATTGAAAAATCTAAATTTATCTTTGTTTACTGAGATCTATTTGGGCAAAATCTCAGTATTTGCAAAGATTAAAAACATAACCACTTCATATTGTGGATTTGAACTACTGTGCAATTTTATTATTTCATTTTAAAAATAAACAAAATGGTCCTTTTTTTGTAGGGGTGGGAAGCTGGGTGGAATTTTTTATAAGTAATGACAAATTTTTAAGTACCCTCTTAGACCAAGTGAATATGTTAAATTAACCCCCTTCAACAATTATAGGTTTATTTTATGTCTTAACTGAAAGAGCTTCAGTAAGCTGAGGCAACCTTTACGTCAGGCTTTAAACTGTATTTTAAATGGTGTTCTATGTTTTTAATTGACTCAAATGTGTTTTGCAGCAGAGGACTATCAGCACATCGAGTTTGGGGTTGACGAGGTGATGGATTCCAAGCCTGTTGGGGTGAATGATCCTTTGTACAAGGTTTCGAGTAACCTCAACCCCCAGGCTCCAGAGTTCATTCTGGGCTGCCAGCCTGCTCCAAAGCCTCAACAGACAGCTTCTCCAACAGCTGATGTCCCAGATGGAAGCCACTTCAACTTGCTGGATGGGCCCGATGCTGATGCTGAAGCTTCAGCCCTGGACAATCACCAGTCATGCCAGGACATAGACGGACTCCCTGGCAGCCTTGGACAGCGAGAAAGAAAGAAAAAGAAAAAACGGCCACCAGGATACTACAACTATTTGGATCCATCAGCTGGTGGAAGCAACAGCTCTGGTGCAGCAGATGGAGTGCCTGTAACAGCACTAGTAAATGGACATGCACTTGCAGGCTCACACCACAGTCCTGAGGATGTTGATAGCAAGACTTTGTCAGCAGCTCAACTTTCCACCCCTGCACCGGTCCCTACAGAAACTGCTACAGCTGCTGTGTTTGCGCCAACATCCACTGCCAATCAGAGGACTTGTGATAGCCCTGATGACTTATCTTTTGACTTAACAAGTGGAGGATCTTTATCAGATGGTAACAATGCAACTTCCTCCTCTTGTTCCTCCTCTCAAAGCAGAGGGATGACAGAGGGACCAAGGACTGCAGATCAGCAGCAGGTTCATTTGTCTCCTCAGAGTCCCGAACTTTCAGATACGCCACACAGCCCCCAGTCCAAATCACCATCTCCTTCCACTGCTGAGGCCATCCCCTCTGCCACCACTTCCACAACTACTGAACTAGAAGGAAGCGAGGTAGCAGAGAGAAGTGTGGCTAATGGGCTAGAAGAGCCCAATGCTCCTGTCAGTGCCGATGGACACAGAGAGGACTGTGACAGTGGGGAGCAGAGTCAGCATCTCACTCCAGACTGTGCTGCCCAGACTTTAGTCACAGAGCAGGCACATTCACCTGCAATTCCCACTGCACCCACTGCCAACCTTCCTAAATCTTGGGCTAGCCTCTTTCACAACTCCAAGCCTCTGCCTGGGGGCCCACAGGCCTTTGTGGAGGTAAAGAATGTTGTGGAAGTTGTTTCTCCCTCCCTTGCAATGCCAGAGCAACCTGAAAAGGTCGGGGAGATAAAAGAAGGTCCTGTCCATGTGTCAGAGGATCCAATGGCCCCTAAACTTGCAGGTATTATTTGAAGAAGCCAATAACATTTGTCTATTAACAGTTTTAACTCCCTACGGTGTTTTGAACAAGTGATGGATGTTTTCCTCCTAAATTCCTTTCAGGTCATTAGGTAGGAATGTAGAACAAAGTTGACCAAAATGTTGTCCCAGAATGAGCATACAATTTTAAATTTTGAGTAGAGTTGAAGTTTTAGGTGTCAACTCCTGATAATTGTCACCTGCTTATCCAAACATTTCAGTTGATTTTTTTCCCAGTCTGATTTAAAAGTAAGCCACTGTGACAAGTAAAAATTAAAGAATTGAACACTAGATGGCGTCACTGCATAACTGTCAAAAATTAAAATCATTGGATTACATTGCTTTAATTCCTTTACGGTATTAAAAGTAGGTCAAAGACTTTGTTGGCCTCATGCATAGTACAAAGGATCATTCCTTTCACTTTAAGTGCGTCTTGTGACATCAAGGTGTCTTTTTTTCCTCTTAGTGTCTCCCTAAATCATAATATACAAATTTACATTACAAGTTATGAAATATTGATTTGATTACATATACTTATGTTAATCAAGGATATGAAAACAGAAATAAGGGGACAGAGTTGCTAGTGCCAAATCTGAAAATTGTCATCTGTTCAAGCTTTCTCCTGAATTAGTATGTAGATACGTATTTAGATCACCTTGATTTCATTCCATTATTATACATTTTAGGGGGTTTGTATAGTAGTAATAATATGGAAACTATTCAGTGATCTACCTTTTTTTTTGTTTAAATCAGAGTTTTTTTAAAGTGTCCAACAGTACATAGTGCTTTACCACTTGAAATGCTTGATTTATCTTACAATGACGACATGTTGGCCAAGGAAATGTTTAGTTTCAAACTTAAATGAAACAAAATCCTTTCTTTTTTTTCCTAGAGATTTTCTTTCTTTGAAAGCAGTCTGTCTACACAAATTGTTTAAAAACCTATAAACCTCTGAAGCTGCAGGCTTTTAAAAAATCTTCAGTACTTTTTTTTTTTCTCTGTGGGAGGCTGGTGTGACATGGCATAACTGTGGACAGTTAAAGCAAAGTCAATCGCATGCAAATGGAAATTTTCCATAATGTTAAGAAGTTTTATTTGGTAGTGTTTATTTTCTGATGTTTAGTCTGTGCTAGTGCCATTTCTACTTTAAAAAGACCAACCTCCTTGAGATGCAGCAGCTTGGAGCCACAGACCCATCTGGCAATGAAGAGGGGGAAAAAAAACCATGATTTTAAAACAAATCCTCATAAATGAATCTAGAAAGCTTTTGTTTTGAGACTAAGTTTTAGGGTTGGGCATAATCCTATCATGTGCAATTAATCGTCAGAAAAACATTAATTGATTTACTTTTTGACACTTGACGATTAATACAATTAATGCCACCAGGCAGGCTGACTGGGGATTACTCTGATCAGTCCGCTCGGTGCTCCTCTCTGCTTCAAATATGACGAACATCAAAAATAAAGTTCCGTAATTATATTTATCTATCAACACAATTTAAAGTATGATGTATAACCTGAAATCTGTAATTTTCACACAATTTGGAACAATTTTTTACAAAGAGCAAATCTTTCCCAATAAATTAGTCATGTGACTAGGACATAAGGGTGTCCAGGGACTCCAGGGGACTAATCGTCAAATTAATCATTATCAGCTAAATACCACAATTAATCGTGATTAATTTTTTTGCCAATATTGCCCAACCCTACTAGGTTTGTGTGTTTTTTGTTTTGATGATGCAGATAATGTTTTAAAAGCAGTATTTAAATTATTTGTTTAGTTAATGTCTGAAGTACAGTGAGGAAAGCTGCACAACCTGGAACATAATCATGATTATTTTCTATTGTGTAATGAATTTTATTATTCAGAGTAAATGTTGATTTTTGTTTATTCAGATCATCTGTTAAAACAATCCACGTTACCATGGGAGCTGTGCTTCTTTCAATGACAGTCTCCCTTCCTAGGCGTGGTACAGCGATCTCTTGCTCTATCTCAGATGGCCTCTAGTGCTGGAATCACCAGAGCTAGGAGTAGAGAAAGAAACATTAATAATATGCAATGTACTTGTCATTTGTGGTGTAATATTCGATTCTGCTTTAAAAAATGCTCTCATAAAATTAGGCTTGTAACTTGCTTGTTGTACTTTAAAAAGTTACCCGTTAAAGAACACTGTCTGTGTTTGAATCCCCAGAACTTATTGAGAATGTGAAGTTGATACATAAACCAGTGTCTTTGCAGCCAAGGGGGCTGATCAACAAGGGGAACTGGTGCTATATCAACGCTGTATCCTTTTCACTGCATTCTTCCCCCTCCCTTTACATGTACATTTTTATATGGCTAGCTGTTAACATTACTCATTTCATAAGTATGTTGTTTCTAAGCTAAAAATGGCACAGAGGGTAAACTGGTTTGAATCCCAGTGAATTTTTCAAAAAYCATGCAATAGTTGCATGTCTTTTTATTATTTGCTGTTAATGTGTTTTCAACTGTTCCAGAAAAAATATCCTTCATAATTTTAAGTTCTGCAAAGTGAACATGCAGGTTTATTTCTTAAATTGGATTGTGTTTACAGGTGTCACTCGTCTTTCAGTCTGTATTAGTTCTTAACTGTGAGTGCTCAGACCCTACAGGCCCTGATTGCTTGTCCTCCCATGTATCACCTGATGAAGTCCATTCCTCTGCATACTGAAACTCAGAGACCGTGCTCGTCCACTCCCATGATCGACAACTTGTAAGAAGTGCTTTTGCCATCTAATATTTGATATCTAGTGTTCCGGTGGCATCACTTCTTATAATTTTTTTTTGTTGTTGTCATAGTGTAAGGCTGGTGAATGAGTTCAACAACATGCCTGTGCCACCTAAACCGAAACAGCAAAGTAAGATGTTACTGAGTGCAAGTGAAAATGTTTAAAATCATTTTCTCTCACTGACCTGTCATTTTTTGCCGTTCTCACAGACGTTGGCGATAAGATCGTAAAGGACATTCGACCTGGTGTACCGTTTGAACCAACTTATATTTATAAACTCCTCACTCTCATCAAATCGAGTCTTTCTGAGAAGGTAGGAAATGCTGCTTTGGGTAGATTACATTTTCACAGCAAAGGGGTGCGTCAAGATTAGACTTTTCTTTAATGATAAAATTCTTCAGGAACAGAAAGTCCTTTGGGAGTCAGACATTTTCTCGTGTAATTGGGTGGATTTTCAGAAAAAAAAAATAATTAGCTGCTTTTGCTGATTCAACCTTCAGTTTTAAAGATGGAATTACTGAAATACTCAGAGGCATCTTTTGGTATCTAATAGGACTCATCCTGTCTATGCACACACTGCCTCTTTGTCTCAGTGAATGATGTCTGTAATTTAGCTCTTGTATTTGACAGCAGGTATTTTGTGTTTGTTGTTGCTGACAAAGATGTATTTTTCTATTTTTTTCTTTTTAGGGTCGGCAAGAGGATGCAGAGGAGTATCTTGGCTTTACACTGAATGGACTGCATGAGGAGATGCTGGCACTGAAAAAACTAATCTTGCCTCAGGATGAGAGTAAGCAACTTACCTGTGGATGTTAGACTTAAAAGTTTCATTGAAATTATTTTGAAACCAATAAATGCCTCCCTTTTTTTAACTTGATTTTTTTTGGGGGGTGGGTGGGG